AAGATGCACTTCGTCCCCGGGTTGGCGCGACCGGTCTTCTCGCCCTGGGACCGCGGCTGGTTTCATCCGAAGTTCCACCGCTCTCCCCCGATTCAGGAGCAGCCGTTGTACAAGGACCAAGCCTGCTACATTTTCCACCAGCGTTGCCGCCTCCTCGAGGGTGAGGTCCCAGGCCAGGCGGGAGGACATCCAGTTTCTCTGTCCTGATTCTTTGTGACCTTGGGCAAGTCAGAGAAACTTCTGGCATCCTCGAGTTCTTCGTCTGCGAAATAGGGCCGATAGTGATTGTATCTTGGGAGAACGGTCAAGATTAAGTGGAGTATAGATAAGAAAACGGGGTGAACTGGAAAGAAACTTGTCAGAGGATAGTAGAATTTGAGTATCAGAGGGAAGAAATCTGGTTCTAGGCTCAGAACCTCTAACTCCTTGTGTGACTTAGAGCACAATGGTTGAACTTTCTGAGCCTGTTTCCCAAGAAGTGATGATTTTAACTTGATGACCTAGAATTGACCTTTCCAATTCTGACATCCTGGAGATGTGAACCTACATTTAAGAAACAGATGGAGGAAGAGTGTAATGGGGGGAGGGGGATTGTAGAGTGTTCTCTCTCCAGGCTCATCACTTATTTTACAAAATTGTTAATGGGACGGAGAGAGGAAATACCCACAGGTTCTCTGTGGGTTAATAATGAAGATAGTACCAGTCAGCCCCCACTTCTCAGATCAATAGCCTTTGTGAAAAGTCAGAACTGAGTGGTTTTCAAAGAAAGTATCTAGAACTAAAAGCCTAGTGCACTTTTCTTTCCACTGCTTAGTGGTAAGAAGCTGCGCTGCAATCCCGAAGTCATGCGGTTCGAGGCCACCAGCAACTCCACAGGAGAAGGAAGGATGGGCTGTCTTCTTCCCTTGAAATTAAATGCCTCTGAAAACCCGCTGAAGGGTCAGCTGTGGGTCATTTCTGACTCTACACAAGAACAACTCTTGCTGGTAACAGGTCGAAATGCCTGAGCCACAACCAGCCTGCCAACTTAAGAGACAGCAATTTTCACAGTGTATGTGGAGAAAGGACTTTTTCGTGAGCTCTTTCTCTGTTCTCTATGTCAATAGCTGTCTCTGTCATAGGGAGATAGGGTAGGGCAATAAAGCACAGTTACTGAGGCCACTGGGAGTGGTATTTTCCAAGGAGGAATTAAAGTGCCTTGGTAGTATAAGTAGTTAAGCATTTAGCCATTAAGCAGAGGTCAGTGGTTTGAACCTACCATCTGCTCCACTGTACAAAGCTGGGCACTCTGGTAAGATTTATAGGCTTGTAAACCAATGGGACAATAGTGCTCTGTCCTATAGGATTGATATGAGCCCAAATTCACTGTGACAGTGGAGAAGACTTGGTAGTACAGTGGTCACAGAGCTTGACTAACTAATGGGTTGAAAGACCCACCAACTGTTCCTTGGGGAAGAAAGCTGTGGCAATCTGCGTCTATAGATTTAAAGCCTTCAAAAGCTTAAGTGGCAATTCTACTCTGTTTATAGGGTCGAAATTGACTTGACACGTGTTGGTTTGATTTTTGTTTTGTTTATTTGTTGAGTTTTTTTGGGTTTGGGTTTTTGTTTTGGTTTTTTTTTTTTTTTTTCCTTAAATTAAGAGAGACCTGGCAGGATGTAGAGGCTAAGCCAGAGAATGAAGTTCCAAGTTTGAGAGCACTTAGCCAATTGCCACTTCTTAAGCTGCTCAAACCCATTTCCGAAAGCTGGTTATTCAGTCTTTAGACACTTCACTGTCCTCACCGGTTCCTTTGAAGGACCTCACAAGACTTGATACCCTTGACTGACCCTGGTAATAGGATACCACATGGACAAATACATTAGCAGTGTTTTAGAAGTTAAGTTTACACTTGTTTGATTACTAAGATGAAAATGCATCTTACACTTTCACCACTTGTAGAGAGGTTCTGTAAAGATTGTAATGAAATTCTGCAAGATGCAGAGCTTATGAAAACAGTAATGAAGAGATTGTGGATTTTAGGGCAGACAGAGTTGGGTTCTCATCTCAGCCTGTCACTTACAGAGGTGAAGGAACTTGAAGCCCATTCTCCACAGCAAATCTTCCATTCCATAAAGTCCCACCTAACTGGTAGTCAGGCTGGCACCATGTAAGCAGATGGTGACACCCAATAAATGGCAACTCCTAATGTTGTTGTTAGATGTCACTGAGTTAACTGAAACTCTAGTGACCTATGACCAACAGATCTGAACCTTGCCCTATCCTGCACCATTCTCTTGATTTCTGTCATACTCAAGCTCCCAGGATCCCTGGATCAATTACTACCTTGCTGCTAAATTCAAGGTTAGTAGTTTGAACCCACCAGGGAGAAAGATGCATTGTAATAAACTTGTCAATACTGGGCTTTTATTCATTTGCTCATCTAACTATTGTGTTGGTTTTGACTCATCACAACCTTCCATCAGAGGCCATAAATCTTAAAGGAAGGGGATTGCCCATCTTTTTTTTTTTTAAATTATTTTTGTGTGCGTGTACCGTCAAATCAGATCTGACTGGTACAGGAGGAGATTGCCCCTCCTTCCCCGGCAGAGCATCTGGTGGATTCGAACCGTGCACCTCTGGGATTGTGAGATTGCCCATCTTTCTCCCAAGTGGCAGCTGGTAGATTCTAACTGCCAGAGACTTGCAGCCTTTTGGTCAGCAAAACGTTCTACAGTCTCTATCACCAGACTTCCCGTGTTCATATATTCACTCAGACTCAGTGCCTTTGAATCTGAACCAGCTCATATGCTTCCAAGACTGTCAGTCACTCAGCAGTAGATCGCCACTACAGAGAGGTGCAGGTCTGTACAGTCTAGGTCACCAGGGCTCCCCATTCATGTGCTAGCAAATGATGAGATACTAATATTTTATCCAGCTTCAAGTTGACGGACTAAATTCCAGTACTAAAAGTCAGGTTAACCCTAATCTAGTGTCCTTTATACTATACCACAAAATATAGAAGTTACATTTTTAAACGTAAGTATGTCTGTTGTGATGATCTGTGATCCTTAAAGCAAAATGCTTCATTGCCTTTTTTTTAAAAAATGTGTTTTGTTCAATAGTGGTCTATGTTGTTGATGCTGTTGATTCCAAACTTGTGGTGACTCTGTATATGCAGAGTAGTGGTACTCTGTTCTCATTGCCTCTCATTTCTCACACAGAGATATTGCCAGGTAGTTTCCCCTAAAGGATGTAAACTGAGTCCATTCCACCTCATGGTTACCCAGCATGTTTCAGGCAGAACCATGTTCCACAGGGTTTTGAGACAGTGTTCAGAGGCAGATCACCAGGCCTTTCCTCTGAAGTGACTTCAGACTGTCAGTCTTTCATTTAGTAGTTGAGCTCATAATCATTTGACCATCCAGGAACTTCCAGCCATATGCTTATTGGGGACAAATGTGATTCTGTAGTGGTGAATGAACATAAATGATGTAGAAATTATCTCAGCTACAGTTCGAATGCCTTGACAGAAGCTTAACTACTTGAAATAACTGTTAATCAGCTTTAAACAGAAAGTCCTTCCTCAAGTTGAGTTAAAATCTGATGTTTCTGAGGTCTCCCCATTTCATTTTTTATTCTGACCTCTTAGGTATCAAAGAGCAAATCCATTTCTCAAGGCAGCCTTTCCCTTATGCTAGTCTGCATCCTTAAGTGTCTTCTCCTTTGTCATCTGTGTCTCTCTTTTTCCCCCTCCTGATTACTCCAAAGGTATGAAGCAGGCCCTCTGGCTTACCAAAACCAAGCTAATAGAAGGCCTCCCGGAGAAAGTGCTTAGCCTTGTTGATGATCCAGACAATCACATAGAGAACCAGGATGAGCGCGTTTTGAACGCGATTTCTCATGCCAGGCTCTGGCACTCCACTGAAGACATCCCCAAGAGAGAGACCTACTGGTAAGTTTCTAGACTACTTAAGATTTCTCACTGATAGATCCTGTAGTCATCCTGCTGCTTTTAAGTCATTCATTTGTTGTTTCTTTCTTCAAGCCCAATCATTGTGGAGAGTCTGATGCAGCTGTGTAGGTCTCAGATTCTCAAGCATCCTGCTTTGACCCAGCGGATCTGTGCCAAAAACTACTCGTTTTCTACGAGCTGGAATCGAGGTTGGTCATTTCGTACATCAGAAACCTTGGTCTGTTTTTTTGGTCTTAGTCCTTCCACCAGATCGTATTTCAAATCACCCTCACCCCATACCTGTCCTCACTCCTGTACCAGATAACATTTTTATAGGCTCAGACACATTTCCCAAATCATTAGCCATGTCTCAGCCTTTTTTTTTTTTTTTAATTTAAAAAAAAAAAAATTCCCCTAAGACTATTAATTCAACAGGAGTTCCGGTGATGCAGTTGTAAAAAACTCAGCTGTTAATTGAAAAGGTCAGCGGTTTGAGCCTACAGGCTGCTCTGTGGGAGAAAAATGTGATAGTCTGCTTCTGTAAAGACTTATAGTCTTGGAAACTCTGTGGGACATTCTCCTCTTTCCTGTAAAGTTGCTGTGAGTTGAAATTGACTCGCAACAATCGCTTTGGTTTGGTTAATTCAATAATACTGAGTGTCTGCTTTGTGCTTGGGAATTCCTAAACGCTGAAGATAAGGAAGAGGTAACAAAGTGTATGTCTTCTTTGTCCTCGCAAAGCTCATATTCTAAGCCTTTTGATCTCCGTTCATTCTTCTCTTCCAAATCCATTTTCTGCTTACCTGCTAGACTGCTTTTTGTAAAGTACAAGTCTTTCTCTGTCCCTCCGGTTTCACAGCCTTCACGTTCTCTCAGCTTAAATCCTTTAGGTTGTTCCACAAGGTCCTGTGTGTTTTGACATCCCTCTACCTTTTTAGTCTAACTTTTGTATTACTAACCTGCCATCCCTAAAATTTAAACTTAGCACATACCGAGCCTGAAATTTTTTTATCTTTGTGCATTTTCACATACTGTACATTGGCCTGGAATGATTTTTTTGTTGTTCATTTAACTGCATTTCACTTGACTCTAAGACAACTCTGTCTTCCTCTCGTGAGTGCAGGCATGGTTATTTATTCCCTGTGTGCTCCTGCTGCTCATTATGTGTAGCTTTGACACAGCACATACTACACTAGATCGTCATTATCTCATCTCTTTCCTTCCTGCTCTGTTAAACTGTCAACTCCTGGTGGCAGGGACTGCCTTCACCATTTTTCTCTGTAGAGTTTAACAGTTCTCAACTAAAGGGAGAGATGAGTAAATATCAACTCCCAGGTGTTTTGTGTAGCGACTTGGCACAGACATTCTGACTGGTGAATTCCTGGGACAGAAAAACTAGTTACGGAATAATTTTTTAAATTTCTAGGACATGGGTTTGATCTGGCTTCTCCAGATCCTTTAAGTATGAGCTTCCTGGCTAGGAGTCAGCTTTGCAGAGGTAATGGTACCACTAAGGAAATTAGTGAACCTCATTAATAGAGGAGTGCTTGTTGGCTCATCATCAAGTATTACCTCTAATTAAACTGCCCCATTTGGAGCTGTCACTGAAGAAGGGATGTGGAGGGAATTGAATTAGAAACCACACTAGAGTAGTCTGTGGGGAGACTCTAAACCCCAAGGTTAGGAGAGGTCCAGGCACATTTATTTTCCTTGAAGATTCAGTGTGCGGAAACAGGAAATACTTTAGAAGACTATTCTTGAGGTGTGAGTATGATGTATTTTAACAGGCAGACCAGAATTTATTCATACACAGATGTCCTGCATCTTCTTTACATAATCTGGTAAGCAAAGTCACATGCTAATTAATTAGTTAAATGACAGTGCTGATGCTCAAACCAATTTTTATTCTATGATAAAGCCCACCTTTATTACCATCACCTTATGATTTGGACTGTTTTTAAAAATCCAGGCACCTTCAGAGAAATATTTGCCTCCCTGAAGACCCCTTGGGCCATTCTAGGGGTCTTCCCAGGAACATTTTATCTGGTGGAGGCATGTGACCTCATAAGGACTTTTGTGAAGGTCACCCATGGTCTACCAAGCTTGTGATAAGAAACTTGTTGAGTAGACAGATAGACATTGGTTCCTTCATACCACTTCTATCAAGTGTACAGATTTCATGAGTCTTTCTGACTGGCTCAGTTATTTTCACAATCATTTATTGGGACCCATCTAGCCCTTTTTTATAATACTTCTCTTTTTCTATTCTTCCTTCTCCGCCATGATATACACTATTCACCTGCATTGAACTCTGCCATAAGATTGCACACATCTCAGGAAGGAACCCACACACTCACGGCACTCTCACCTCAGGGAAGGGACCTTCACACCACTCTCACCGCATGGAAAGGACCCTCACACCCACCCTCACCTCAGGGAAGGGACCCTCACACCCACCCTCTCCTCAGGGAAGGGTCCTTTACACCCACCTTCACCTCAGGGAAGGAACCCTCATACCACTCTCACCTCAGGGAAGGGACCCTCACATCTACCCTCACCTCAGGGAAGGGACTCTCACACCTACCCTCATGTCAAGGAAAGGACCCTCATACCCACCCTCACCTAAGGGAGGGAACATTCACACCCACCCTCTCCTCAAGAAAAGAACCCTCATTTAAAAAGAAAGAGGGAGGATAAAAGATTGCATACTTCTGTGTCTTGACCTTAATTAGAAAGTTTTTCCTCCTCTTTCTCTGCCTGGTAAGCTCTTACACTGTGGATTTTTTTTTTTTAAACTAAAGGCAATTTGTCTCCCCCAGAGGCCATTTGGCAATATCTGGAGCCTCCCCCTTTCCCCCCCAATTAACTCTTCTCCTTGTAAAGAAAAAACTCTTGGGGAGCTCTGGTGGCCTAGTGGCAAGAAGCTGCATTGCAATCCCAGAGGAACACGGTTCGAATCCACCAGATGCTCTGCCGGAGAAGGAGGCGCAATATCCTCCTGTACCAGTCAGATCTAATTTGACGGTACACGCACACAAAATAATAATTAAAAAAAAACAACAAACTCTTTCATTGTTATGCAGTTCCTCCCCCCCAAGTTCACTCCACTATGCAGCCTTCACTCTGGACTTCTGTAATGACAAGAATACCCATTCATAGATCCCTTTTAAACAGATCTCTCCCTCGTCTGTTTCAATGTCATATACATCATTCCTCCCCTCCTTTTCTGTCTTTCCTCAACCCTGATGGTCTGGAGACATTTTTAATTGTCATGTCTTGGAAAATGGAGTGAAGAAGATGGGTGCTATGGGCATTTAGTGGGGACAGAGTAGGAGTGCATCTGAACATCCTACAGTGAGCAGGGCAGCCCTCCTCACTCACTGAAGAATTATTTTGTCTGAAATATAAGTTGTGCCAAAGTTGAAAGCCTCACTTTTATGCATTCTTCAAAATTTAGTTCTGAGTCTTTGCCTCTGGTCTTCCAGAAAGGGCCAGTTTTAGTCTCAGTTCGTACTTCTGTGGTAGTCCTTACTACGTGGTGGGCTTCTCTGGAGCAGACAGTAGTAGCTCTCGCTCATTTTTACATGGGTGGAAGAGGATGAGCCATCAGAGACCATGAGGTCTCAGGGTTCATTGGAAAGGAAACTCAAGGAAGAAAGGTGAATTGTTTCATCTCCCTCTGATGAATCGCGGATCAGCATCTTGACTGAAGTTTTATTTTCTAATGAGGCTGACTTATAGAAAAACTGTAAACTACTTAGAAAAACTTGAGCTGAAAACTCCACTAGTCTGGCCTTAGCTAAGGGTTTAGACCAGGCTAGAATAATTGTCTTTCTGTCCTTGTAGAGTCTATTCTCCTTCAGGTCCGTGGGTCTAGTGGAACGCGAGTGAGTACCAAGGATCCTCTGCCTGCTGTTGCTGCTAGAGAAAAAGTAGAAGCTACTAAGAATCATGTTCTTGAGACCTTCTATCCCATATCTCCCACTATTGATCTTCAAGAATGCAATGTTTATCACATGAAAAATAACACAGGTGAGTGTCAAAGCCTTGGATTTTTAGGCCGCACACAATGAATGTGCTTTTTTGTAAAGGGGAAAGGATGTACTGAGTATACGCTAAAGCATGTCAGAGATCATGAGGACAGCACAGGATGGGGCATGGTTCAGATCTGTTGTTCACCGTGTCACTGAGTCATAGTTGACTTCGCACCTAATAGCAACAACGGGGATGCGCGGAGATGATGGCCTAACATGGCTTAGAGAAACAGTGCTAAGCTTTGATTTATTCCGGAGTGACATAGTTGCTAGACTATGATTCCTAGCTAAGAGGTTGGCAGTTTGAACCTATAAGAGGAGCCTCGGAAGACTGACCTGGTGATCTACTTCCAGAAGGTCACATCCTTCAAAACCCTGGGGAGCAGTTCTGCTCTTTAAACTTGGGTTCTCCATGAGTTGGAATTCACCCCACATCAGTTAAACAACAGCAGCAATAAGCTTTGATACTCACCACCCATGTTCAGATTAGTTGTGAGGTATGAGGCAAGTAATTTGTTCCTAACATTATTGTAAATGTCTTGCTCTGTTCTTAATAATTATCACTGAATTGGAAGATGGGCAACCAGGGTGCTCTGTACAGGCAAGAATGGTAAAACTTCATCTCACATATTGGTACATGTTATCAGTAGTGGCCGGTCCTTGGAGAAAGACATCTTGGAGAAAGGTGGAGGGTCAGAGGAAGAGAGGACTGCCTTCAACAAGATGAATTGGCACCATGACTGTAACAGTGGGGTTGAGAATGGTGAAGATCGTGAAGGTGGAGTAGCATAAGCCAGAATGCAGATCTGTTGTTCATTGGATTGCTGTGAGTCTAGTCGACTCCAGGGATGGCACCTCACAACACCACTACACTGAATTCAAGTTAATCTCTATTAACGTCACTGTTACCTGTGTCCTTGAAGGAGAGAGAAAGGGTAGAATAAAGCTCGTATGCAGAAATCACCTACAAAGGGTTGGCAGACATTTTTTGTTAAGAACCAGATAGTATTTTAGGTTTTACAGATCATGCATGGTCTTCCACAGGTACTCAGAACCAGTGCCAAGTCAGTTCCAACTCATAATGTCCCTGCATAACATCAGTTCTGACTCAGCATTCCTACAGGATAGATGCTGCCATAGAGTTTCCAAGGCTGTAGATGGGAGCAGACCACTTCATCTTTCTCTTGAGGAGCAGCTGGTGGATTTGAACCACCAAATTTTTGGTTAGTAGCCCAATGCTTATTACAATACACTAGGGCTCTTTAGGCATTCAGAAAGCCTGTACATATGTGAGCATGACTCTGTTCAAATAAGTCCTCAGTTATAAAAGTAGTCATTGGGCCAAACTTGATTTGCAACCTGACATTTGCCAAATCCTAAGCTATAGGGAAGGAAGTCCTGACGATGTAGTTTGTAAAGAGTGGTGCTCTATTGAGAACCCAGGAATAGACCCAGCTATCTATGGTCAACTGATATTTGATAAAGAAATAAAACCTATCAGATGGGGAAATGACAACCTCTTCAACAGATGGTTCTGGCTAAATTGGGATCCACATCTTACACTGTACACAAAAATCAACTCAAGATGGATCAGAGACCTGGGAGTAAAGCCTAAAACCATAAAGTTCATCAAAGACAAACTGGAATCAAGCTTAGATGGCCTAGTCTATGGTATAGAGAGACTGCCAAATTCAGCCAGAAATGCACAATCTGGAGAAGATAAAATTGATGAATGAGACCTAAAGATTAAGTCTCTGTGCACATCAAAAATGTTTTCCAACAGAGTGAAAAGAAAACCTACTGATTAGGGAAAAAACATTTGGCAATATCATCTCAGACAAGGGTCTTATATCAAAAGTTTGCAGAATTCTCCATGGCCTGATAACCCAACTACAAAATGGGCAAAAGATATGGAAAGACTTTTCACGGAGGAAGATAATTTGGATGGCCAATTGACTCATGAAGAAATGTTCCAGTCACTGTCAATAAGAGAGGTGCAAATCAAAACTACAATGAAATACCATCTCTAGTAGCAGTGGCAACGTTCAACAGAACAGCAAGTAATAAATGTTTGAGAGGATGTGGCCAGATCAGAACTATTTAAAGATTGTTGGTAGAATTGTAAAATGGTACAACTACTGTGGAAGGCAGTATGGCACTTCCAGTGCTTGGAATAAACCCCGAGAGAATAAGAACTGAGGCACAGAGACTTATACACCAATGTTCATAGCAGTGTTACTCACCATTGTAAGAACATGGAAACAGCCCAAATGTCCAACCACAAACGAATGGATTGAGAATTATGATATATTCACATGATAGAATACTACACAGCACACAGGAGCAATGATTTTGTAAATTACCACCTAATTTGGGAGGGACTAGAGAGGATTATGCCAAGTAAACTCAGTCCCTTAAGGACAAATATTGTATAAAACCATTATCATAGAATGAGTATAAAGATCGAAGCAGGGAGCAGAGAGATGAGGATGTGGGGGATGGGTGGTGGTGTTAATCATAGAGTCACTATTTAATTGGGGCATGAAGGAAATGGGAAAGATACAGTGTGAAAAACAATGTATATGAACTTTGAAAATAAATCAGTATAAAATAATTTTTTTTAAAAAAAGAGTTGTGCTATTAACCCAAAGACGGCCTATTGTGGTTCGAATTCACTAACTCTGGGGGGGGAAAGAGGGGCTGTCTCTTCTTCTGTGATTTAAAGCCTTAGAAACCCACTTTTGGGGTCAAGTATGAGTCTGTTCTGATTCCATGGAAATGAAGCTTCAGCTCCCGGGATAGATCTGTCTTTACTGAGTTCCTCTGTGGTGTCTAACACTGAGCTAAGGGTGAGGTGACTTTCCTGAGGCTAGTGACAGGCTTACTGATCTAACCCTCAAATCATCATGTATCCTTTAGGATTCCGGGAAGATCATCCTTATCCATATCCCCATACTCTGTACTTCCTGGAGACAGCTAATTTACGACCACACCGCTTTCGTCCAGAGCAGCTGCGGGCCAAGATGGTCCTTTTTGCTTTTGGCAGTGCCCTGGCTCAGGCCCAGTGCCTCTATGGGGTATGTATGTGTAGAAAACTAATTTACATGATATCCTGTTTTACACCACACAAAGAAAGGATATGGAGGATCCTTGCTTAGCTTTGTGACTGATTTCAGTTGTTCCACAGATACTCCTATGTAGCATCTGCTGAGGACCTATAGTGTGCCCATGCTTTACATAATAAGGTAACTCATTTGTTGGTCCCAGTAGTGCATAATATCTCACTGGATCCCCATTTCCCAGAGTGTAAGTCACAAGCTTGTCCAGCAGTACTGTGTGGTAGAGCAAGGACTGGAACTAGACCCAACTCCATAGGCACATGATTTGTCCTAGAGCACGTGCATCTGTGCTGTAACATTTCAGAACGGGAGCACAAGACTCCTTCAGGCAAACAGGAGGAAGTGCAGCCATAGAGAAGGCTGAGACCTACCTGTGATGTCAGGGAGAGCCTAGAGGCGATCTCAGGGACTAGGATGATGTAGAATGAAGCCCAAGTCATTGTCACAGAGAACAGTACCAAGATAGAGGGAAGCCTGACCCTGTAGGCCAGGGTGAATGATAGTACAGGAGCCCCCAAGAGGGCCTGCGGCACCAGATCCCTGGTTCTGGACAAGGAGGATTCTGAGAGCTGCTGAAGGCTTCCCAGGTCTTGGCTAGTGCCTAAGCCTCTCCTAGGGAAGTGAAGACATTTCAAGAGTTCTGTCTCCCAGCCTGCTTTGTCAAGGAACTAGATAGGCTGGAGTGGTGTGGGCTGATGAATTAGGGGATGAGGGCTTGCCTGCATGGGGCATCTGGTATGTGTTAGACATCTAATGGGGGTGCTCTCTCTGTGTGGTCCTCTGAATGTCATTTTGGACTGGCAGTGGCAGCAACTTCTGAGAAGGTATTAGTAATTAGTAATGCAAGTTCTCAAGCCCACTCCAAGTCCATAACCTTGAAGGGAGGCCCGTCAATCAGTGTTTTAACAAGCCCTCCAGGTAAGTAAGACAAGATCAAGCTTGAAAACCCCTGCTGTAAAATTCAAAAACTATTTTATTTAACCTGTAGCAACCTAGGTAGCAGATAAGTATTAGTTTTCATTGTACAGATTAAGGGTCAGCAAGACTGTCACTTGCCAAGGGTCACACAACTGAGACCTCTAAAACCTTAGGAGCTCCCACATCTTTATGTGACTTTTTGTATCCTCCTGTTCTTTTACTGTGTGATATACCTGAAAGTTCAGATAGATTAGGAAACAGCTCATAAGAGAAAAGCTAGGATTGAAGCCCTGATTTCTCTGATTTTGATATATGTGCTGCCTTCCTACTCGGGTCAGGCAAGATGGTTCTCTACAGGTCCCAGGACTGTAGCTTCTGTGCCAGCTACTGCCAACAGAGCATAAGAAGTGATGCTGCCACTAATTGCCACCTGGTTGGGTAGAGCAGAAGGGCCCCCACTCCCTCCAGGTACAAATTATTCCTGGGGCTGTGAAGTTGAGCAATTATGGGAAGAGCCTCTGTGTAAAAGGTAAAATTGCTGAGAAATTTATGTACTACCTGCAGTTTTATTGATCTGTAGAGGGAGATAAGAGTCAATACAGAATTCTTGGCTAACACTTAAAGGTACTTTTCCCTTTCTTTATTTCTCATGCGGTTAAGAACCAGTACTTTCCAAGGCCGACAGCCTCAGTGTGGCCCACACTGGGGTCTGACAGGCAGTGTGCCTAATGTCAGGTTCAGTCCTGGAGGTGTGGATGTTGGCGGCTTTATTGAATCAAGGATGCTCTGCTTCAGGGGGCCTGCCTATTGGATCTTTGTCCAGTAGATAGTGATCACCAATCAGTGGACTGCTGCAGAATCTCATTCAGGTGTTCATGTAATTGATCATACAAACTGGAACGTCACAGAAGTGAGAAGGGGTGCTCCTGTCATATTGAGAGAATGTGTGTAAGCCAGAACCAGGATTAAGGTGCTTGACAGTGTAGTGTCAGAAAGAAAGAGCAAACTGGGGACTGAACTTGGTGCTTTCATTTTTTCACGGATGATCTTAAGCAAATTATACCACTTCTCTGAGCCTCAGTTTTCTTGTCTGTTAAATAGGAATATACCTCTAGGTTTATGAGATTTGGTACAACTCCGTAAAACTGGCCTGATGCCTGGCACATAAATGGTTGCTAGCATTATTACCATTATTAAATGGTAAGAATTGAAAGAGATAATTAGCAAATATGTTGACTTATGCTGATAGCCACTGGAGCGGACCCTCTGGGAATGTGGCCCATTCTGAGTTGTTGAGAGCTTTGAGCCCAGGTGAGATGCATGTAGACTAGAGTGTCCCAGGACACCGGCCTTTGGGAGCAAGGCAGATGTGGAAGAGTGCACGGTTTAGCCTCAGCCAGTTATGATTCTGAAGCCACACGTCTTTTTTGACCTTAGAGAATTCACTGTACTTTGCTGAGTCTCAGTTGTCTCCTCTGTTAAGTGGGGTAAGTGCTGAAAGATAGGTAGTACGTATCATCATTGACGTGCCATGTTAACATATGATGAAGCTGATTTCACTGTGTCACCATCAAATAACACCAAGAGTTTGAAGCCTGTCCCCACTATTGACTTCCTAGTTCACCTTGTTGGACTGTGCTGCTTGTTCAGTAATCACTTCAGTAGCAGGTGCTCCAGCTAAAGAGTAGGTACCCTGGAGCCAGGAGAGGGTAAGGGAAGGCCTGGCCCTTACCTCCTCATTCTGTTTTAATTCCCCATAGGTACAGTCAGTTGCTCAATGAGAGTGGGTAGTTGTTTTAAAGGTCAGAACTGGAAGCTGCCTATTTTGCGCTGTTCCTCACCTCCGTAGTTGCTAAGTCATCTTCCTTATTGTCTCATTTTCTCTCAGGATGATCCCAAGGTTTTGGAGCAGCCAGTGACTGTGCAGAGTGTGGGCACTGATGGCCGCCTTTTTCAGTTCCTGGTGTTCCAGCTGAACACCACCGACCTGGCCTCGGATGCAGGTGTCAAGAATCTGGTCTGGGTGGACTCAGACCAGCTCCTCTATGAGCATTTTTGGTGTCGCCCAGTGATCAAGAAGAAAGTGATGGTGGTGAGTCCAGCCATCCCCAGCCTGGTGAATGAACCAGAGCTTTAACTTGTCCTGCCCAGAATGAGGGGTTAGTTTAAAAGGATTCTTTGTGGGAGGGACCCTGATTTGAAAGACTTCGAGCACTAGATCTCTGTCTGGAGGACTACTTCAGCCCTGCCTATCACCTAAGTCAGTGCCTTCCACCCAGGGGCTTGCCCCAGCACCTCCATCTCACCCACCCACCTCCTTCTGTACTCCTCTCTTCCGTTCTGTCTGACTTTGCATGCTCCTCAGGGTGCCCTGCCGCATGTCTGCTTGAAGTCTTCGTAGAAACTGCTGGTTTTGCATAGGAAACTGTTACTTCTTCCTCTGACACTGTTCCCTGTTTCTTCTGTCATCTATTTTTCCTTCCAGATTTGCCATAAGTATCCCTTGCTCTGGGAAACCTTACTCCCGCCTCCTCCACCGGGCTGGCTTCTGTGCTTTCATTGAGACCCTCGCTCCCTTGTTTCCCCCATCACAACATAGTCATACCCTACTGTACATGGTTCTTTCCTCCACTTAACTGAACTCCAAACTCCTCGATAGCAGGGCCGTGAATGATGAATTCGCCTCCTTCTGTCAGTACAGATTCTGTCCTGTCACTGTCACTGCTACACTGTGCTAAGCCTGTAGAGTCCAGCCTGCATTCCATGTAAGGGGAAAGACAATATCTACAGGGAGTAATAAGCATTCTGAAGAATCATGGAGCAGGATCAGGGAGTGAGAGAAGACAAAGGATGGGGGCTGCAGCATCTATGACGAGCTCTATTCTCAGTATCCAGCCAGGGTCTTCCCTATATTGTTAAATAGACCTGGTGTTGAGCCTTTGAACGTTATCAGCATAGTGTAATTAATCCTCCAGCATTTATCAGTGCGATGCCTTCCAAGTCTGGGCCCTTCTCCTTGTCCCGCCTCAGTCCTGACAGTGTGTCTCTTCCCTGTGTAGTCACACAGCCTCCTCCAGGCCTTTGCCCTTGGTCTTGCTCGGCTTCACCCTTTTCATGTCGTGAGGTCCTCTTCCTCTGTCCTCCTCCTAGGACTGCTAGCCAGGGTCTTTAGGACCCATGACATCTACATTGCACAGTACTTAGATCCGGGCCCTTCCTGCTTTGGTCATACAGCTCCTGCTTGTCTCTCCAGCTTCATTTCCTGCCGCTCTTCCTCCACCCACTCCTCTCCCATCCCACCAGCCCCGGGCTCCAGCTTGGTCCTGCCCTGCACGTACTCGTCTCTACCTCCATGCCATCACATGTGTTGGCCTCTCCAAAGTCTCCTTCTTTTTCATTCTGGCTCATTCTAGTTGCCCTTGAAGATGTTTGGGAGGATTTTTTTAGTTTTTGACAGTTTTTTTCCCACTGTATAGCAAGTGATGAAATAGTCATTTTCTGTTCATTTTCCATAGCGTCCTCTCTCACTCCCACCCGTTGAACACCTGCCTCTAAGTTCCTTGAGTGCAGGAGTCAGATTCCAGTTAGTACTCGGTATCTGGCACTGGGTACTGGTGGAAAAGTACCTATAAATATTGTGGAACAAGTGAGGGATTATTGTCCATAGAATTAAGAGGTGACAGGCCATTTGTTCCTGGTAGTTGACGTGGGAGGGATTAGGAAGCTGAAGTGTGGAGAGAGGATTTGGTTACGGGGTAGTTGGAGAGCTTCATGTCCTCCTCCTGGTCCCATGCCCCTCAGGCATCTCGTCTGTGCCATTGCCCCAGTACTTCTCTGTGGTCCATGAGAGAGGTGATGTCAGAGAAAGAAACAGTTATTATCCAGGCACTTAGAAATTACATAAAATTGACCTTTGTTTTAATTGCTGCTATTAAATCTGGTAGCAGGATTCTAATGGGCTGTGTTCTTTCCAGGAACCTGTAGGGCCAGTTGGTTACCAGCCAGAAACATTCAAGAAGTTCCTCGCTCTGTATTTGCATGGTGCTGTGTGAGCTGAAGATTATTCAGAGCCCTCTTGCCCTTCTCCCACTGAAGATCCTGCATTTTGGGTAGTCCCTGGGCTCTGCCCAGAGCCTGTGTAGCCTGTGGTCCCTGTATAGCCTGGTGGTCTCCCTAAGAAGAAAGGGCCTCCACATGCTCTGAAGCCTATAATTGATATGAAGATGTTGTTGAAAGAGGGACTCACATTTGTGTCTATGCCTGTGGTGTGTATCACACTAGCCAATTAAATGCCATCTCTGGAACCTGACCTGTCTCAGCTGTGACCCAGCTCTGCCCTCTGCCCCTTCTCTGACTGTTGATCAACATCTTTGACTCTGAGGTATTTTCTTCATCCAAAACATGGGACTAAAATTGCATACCTAGTTTCAAGGGTTACAGCTTGAGTATTTGAGTGATGGTTGCATAAGGAAGTCTTGTGATACGACATTATCTCCTGAAAATTAATTAACAGCTCTATGAGATAGATTCTGTGACCTTTCATTTATGAGCAAGGAAAGTAAGGCTAAAGGAAATTCCATCATTTGCTCCAGGTTCATGGCAGAGCCAAAATTCTGTCTGACTCTAATGTACATCATGCACCAGGCTGAATCCTACCAGCATTGATGGGATCTGGGTCCTTAATAATGATTTGACCTTGATAATCTGCCAGTGTCTCTGAACACATTCCTTGCCGGGACTACAGAAAATCTGAAAAGAACATTCATTGTGGACTGCACTGCAATCCCCAAGGCATGGAGTTCGAGGCCACCAGCTGCTGTGGGAGAAGAATGGGCAATCTCTGAAAGCCTGTCAGAGGATCTGTTATGGGTTGGTTCTGTTTCTCTGGTACACAGCACAACTACATCCCAGTTAATGGTCCAAGGTTACTTCTGGTTCAGTCGATCTTGCTAATCTTCACACACTTGCAAGGCAATGCAGTTTGTGTTTTGTATTTTTAATTAAAGAAAAATAGCATTCTTTGTATGTGCCAGGCACTGTTCTAGGATCTAAAAGTGAGAAAGCTTGAATAGAATAAGGAATTTTCCCAAACTTGCAGAGCTACATACAATTTTAGGTCAGGTTCCCCTGGAAACAGACTTTGGAATGAAGATTTGCATGTTGCAAGTACGGGAGAACTTTAAAGATCAGTACCTGTGAGAACGCTGGTGTGGTCTCTCCTGAGACCTGGCCTGCTCCCTGGGAGTTCTGGAGCTGAGTTGTCCCTGCTTTCCCACCCTGAGGCAGATGGCTGAGCTTTCACATAAACCATTGTGGATGTATGCTTCTGCTGAGACAGAGAGCCCTTGGATGAGATGGCTGTTTTGGGCTGAGAGCAGTTCCAGAAGAGGGCCTTGTTGAGACCAAATAAGCTTCTAGAAGCCAAGGAGTATGTGTCTCAGGAGAGATGTGGGAGCACATGGCAGCCATCCCTGCCTGCCAATAGCACGGCAAATTTCCAACCGTCATACATCCAACTCAACACAGGCTGTACTGAGAGAAGCCCTCAATGCCGAGAACCTCAGGTTTCCTCAGGAGTTGATCTGCAATCTGGAAAATTCTGTGATCCCTGTTGCCTATCTTACTTTCTATTTAATAAATAATAACACTTGCATATAAATGGTGAAAATTCAAGGAGGTCAGAAAAGTAGTAATGTTCGGTCACCCTATTCATGGTAATCTGTAGATCTCTTCACTGGGGGTAACCAAAGTTTAGGGTTTCTCGTTTGTGTATGTGTGTGTAGTTTATATATAGATGTACATTACTGTAAATCATCCTAAATATAGACTCTTCCACACCTTTTTTCACTTATTATCTTGGGATTATAAATTCTTGCCACATCAGCATATGACATCTAGTTTATTCTTCTGAGCAGCTACATTAATATCTATTGATGGTCATTCAGCTTGTTTCCGGTTGTTAGCTATTACAAATAATGCTGCACTGAGCATCCTTGTTTGTGGGTCTTAGAGTACTTTTGCCAGCATAACCATTGGGTATATTCCTAGAAGTAGAATTGCTGAGTCAGAGATTTTAAGAACACAGAACACTCTGGTGAGTGTATAGAGGACAACTTGGCAGGGCTGTAGCCGTCCGGCTAGGGGCCTTTGCAGAGCTGAGTGAGGGATGATGACTTGAAGCAGTCTTAAGCAGTTTCCTATGGGAGGACTTAAACTTCCTGCCATCATTCTTCCCTACCACAGAGGAAAGAGATTGCCCATTAGGCCACCAGACCTCCCTCACCTTTTAGTTATCCCACACCTACACTTTTGTATGCTAAAGTCTGCCCAGACTTCCTCTCACAATGTAATTGTCTATCAGCATATAATTTAAGATTTTCTAAAGTAACGCCTACCTACCTCAACCACTGGATTACTAGACTACTTCATCTCCTTGGGAGAAGGTAAGAGGTGTTCTCTCGTGCAACTAATGCCTCTGATAACCCACTGGAGGTTCTGCTATGGGTCAGTTTCAATTTGATAGCACACAACAACTGCCATCACGTCTATCCTGACTCCCAGTGACCCTATGACTCTTTACAGAAGCAGACTACCTCATCTATCTCCCAAGGAGCACTTGTGCGTTCAAACCTCTGGCCATTTTGGATTAGCATCTGAATGTCTTAACCACCCCCCCACACACACACCCAGGGAGACAGAGTGAAATTGTGAAGCTAAACCTTGAGGAGCGAGTTACAGTGGCTTAGTGGTAAAGAGTTATATTGCTAACTCAAACGCAAGTGATTAAAATCACCTGCTCGATGGGAAAAAGATAATCGATTTTTTCCTGTAACACTCAGCTCAGTAGCAGGGCCTGTAAGCCCATTGCCCTCTCCCTTGAAGCCCCATGCAGGTGATCTCCACAAGTACAGCAGCCAGAACTGGCAGATTTTACCTTTAGGGAGCTCTGGTGGCCTAGTGATAAGTGCTGCAATCCCAAAAGCACGTAGTTCGAATCCACCAGCTTCTCCATAGGAGAAGGATGGGCAATCACCCATGCCATTTACTGTCTCTGAAAAACCACTGGAGACGGCACACAAACAATAACGTACAGATGAGGAAACAGGCTGTGAGACAACACAAGGTAACATGAAGTACTGAGCTAGAAAGCACACACAGACGAGACCACGACCCCTCCACAGAAATCAGCCCCTTCCCGATGCCCAGTGCCCACCTGCCTCATCCACACCACCTGCCTTATTGCACATTGGAGGGGTTATGTGTCATCAAGATGGCACCAACTCTTAGCAACCCTATGTACAGCAATGAGGTCCTGCTGGATCCTGTGCTGTCCCTGTGCTGTGTAGTATGTAATGAGTTGAACTTCAAACAGAAAGGTCAGCAGTTTGAATCCACCAGCAACAAAGATGGCCAATCTCCTCTCATAACCCAAAGAAGGGTTACTCAGTTGAAACCAATTGGATGACGGTGGATCGTTTTAATTGGCATCTGATGACAGGCTATCCTGCCTGGTCAGGGGTGAGGAGGATGGAAACAGAAGAACTACATGAGATCAGGAACAGGTCACACTTCATGTAAAACTCCCACTATAAACATGGGAGAGGCTGGAGAGCATTATGCTGAGTGAACTAATGCAGTCTCATAAGGATAAACACTGCATAAGACCATTACTGTAAAAATAGAAGGATAACTAGTAAAACATGTATGGGAACTCAAGAGGGGAGGACTGAAGATCAGTAGGGGTGAAACCACAGAGTTGCACAGTTTGGTGGATGGAGATGGGAGATGGAGGAAGGAATCAGGTGAAAAGACAGGGTAATGATGGGCAAGGTCCAATGCTGATTAATTTTAAGAGTATTTTGTTTTTATTAGTGTGTGTGTGTGGGTGTGTGTGTGTGTACTATCAAATTGGATCTGTCTGATACAGGAGGAGATTGTCCCTCCTCCAGCAGAACATCTGGTGGATTCGAACCACGTGCCTCTGGGATTGCAGTGCAGCTTCTTACCACTAGGCCACCAGAGCTCCTTAATGTTGATTAATTTTATAAAACATAATGTATGGGAATGATTGGATGAAACACAGTGTGAATGAAGAATGATGTGAAACACAGTATGTAAGAACTGTAAGCAAACGAATTTAAAAAAAAATCCCACTATAGGGATCGCTGGTGGCGAATTCCCTAAGGAGTTGCACTGTTAACCCAAAGGAAACACCTCTCTGGCAGTCCCAATCCACCAGCAGCTCCATAGGAGAAGGAATTTCTCCTGTAAAATTTATAGCCTTGGGAAAGCCACTGAAGGGTCGGCTATGAATCAGTTCAAATTCTATGGCAATGAATTTTGAGTTTTTGACAAAGGCACCAGATCCTAAGTCTATCGACTTCTGGGAATTACATATATTTTAAGCATCTGGTTGACCCACTAAAATATTCTGAAAGACTTCAGTAGCCAAGGATATTCTAGTCTTGCACTGGAGGAGAACCATATTCCATAGCTCCTCTCAGTTTCTTCATCTGCAAAATGACAGTAATGTATCCCCCTGTCACATTTCCCCTACTTTGGATAAATAGGCTGCATTGGCCTGGAAGGTTTCAGGTAGGTAGACGTGACCAGGGTTTCAGAAGCCTCTGCTGGCTTTGTGGTAAGGAGATGCACTGCCAATCCAAAGGTATGCAGTTGGGATCTACCATTTGCTCCATAGGAGAAAGCTGGGCAATCTTCCTAAACAACAATTTACAGTCTCTGTTGGTTCTAACTCAATGGTTGTTTCATAATTTGTCTTGCTAAGATGAATAGCAGACTATTTATGCAAAGTTTCAGGTCAACGTAGTCCCAAATGCTTAACCAGCTGTATGTGTCCATGATTTCTAACATGAACCGCTCCATCCGTGGCCCAGTCTCCCAATTCCTCTATGGGCCTTGGGTTCAGATTCGCTAGAAGGTCTCTCAGAGTAATAACCATAGGTTATGTGACTGTAGGTATCCAAGCTGGTTTTGGAGAAACTGGTGAGCGATGGGCCAGGATCCTGTAGACTGTCACTTGTGGCACAGT